ACTCCCAGTACCAGCATCCCTACCCCATATGGTACTGGCACTCCCAGTACCAGCATCCCCACCCCATACTGGTACTGGCACTCCCAGTACCAGCATCCCTACCCCATACTGGTACTGGCACTCCCAGTACCAGCATCCCCACCCCATACTGGTACTGGCGCTCCCAGTACCAGCATCCCTACCCCATACTGGTACTGGTACTCCTAGGACCAGCATCCCTACCCCATACTGGTACTGGCACTCCCAGTACCAGCATCCCTACCCCATACTGGTACTGGCACTCCCAGTACCAGCATCCCTACCCCATCCAGTTACCACCATCCCCGGTACCTGCAGCTCTACCCCACCCTGGCACTGACATCCTGGTACCACCACCCCCAGTACCAGCATCCCCCATCCCAGTAGGTGCGAACCCCATAAGTGCCACCTGGGGGGGGTCCCCAAAGGGCTCCCCATTATGGCCACGCTACTGGGATGGTTCAACCAGAGCTGGGAGCAGCAGTTGCCCCGCCGGCCAGAAAGGGGGAGGAAAAGAACGACCCCAAAGTACCCCCAAATCCTCTCACGTCTGTCACGGGGGGTAGCACACACACACACGTTGGCATCACAGGGTGACTGGTGCCACCCCATCCCTTCCCCTTGGGCATGAAAATCACCTTCCTCCTCCTCCCCCCCCTAAAAAAAATATCATCGTTGGGATGGGAGATTGTGGGGATGGGAAATCATCAGGGAAACCATCCCTGGGATGGAAAATCATCAGAGAAATCATCCCTGGGATGAGAAATCATCAGAGAAATCATCCCTGGGATGGGAAACCACCACCAGCATCACCAGTGCTGTCCCAGTACCAGTGTGGGCGGCCGGGGCGCCTTTGCCGTATGCAAATATATCTCATATCCATATATAAATGTGTGCGTACCCTGCGCGTCAGGGCTCTCCCACTCCACACTTTCCTGGCCCTGGGAGTTTTGTCCCAGGACGAGGGCTGAGCTGAGCAGGGCAGGATTTTCCAGTCCCCGGCATCTCATTCCCGAGAGGGTGGTGGGGAGCAGCACCCCCCACGGCACAGCGGCGTTAAACGGCTGATCCGGGGATCCGGGCCCGCTCCCCCTGCCCCGGGGACCCTCCATACTCCCAGGCAGAGCGACCCTCACTCCCTCATCCCCACACACCCCCCTCACCCCGAGATACCCCCCAAGTTTTAAGCCGGGCTCCCCGCTGCCCGGGCCCTGCGGTATGTAACGGGCCTCCGCCGCCGCTGGCAGGCCCGGCCCCGCGGCTCCCGGCAGTCCCAGGCCACACGCCGCCGCAGCGCCCCAGAGGAGCCTCCCGGGAGGCCCCAGGCCGGGAATAAACCCCGGAGCCGCGCGGGGAGAAGGCGGGGGAGCGGCACTCACCGCTCCGGTACGCGGAAATCTTTGCCCGCCATGATGACGATGGCGACGGCACCCGGTCCGTCAAACGTCACTTCCGCTTCCGCCGCCGTGACCCCGCGCGGCCCCCGGACGCCCCGGCGACGCCACAATGAGGCCACGCCCCCCCGAAGGGAGGCCACGCCCCCTGACCGGTGCCGCCTGAGGCTGTGGCGCCGCCTCGCGGTCACCGCGGGTACAACAGTCCCCGAACCATCGCCAGTATCGCCGCACCAGTGCCAGCATCACCTCCCCAGTGCCACCACCAGTATCACCACCCCAGTGCCAGCATCACTGCCCCAGTACCACCACCATATCACCGCCCCAGTGCCAGCATCGCCGCCCCAGTACCAGCACCAGTATCTCTGCCCCAGTGCCAGCATCACTGCCCCAGTACCAGCACCAGTATCACTGTCCCAGTGCCAACATCACTGCCCCAGTACCATCATCACCACACAAGTACCACCACCAGTATTACCACCCCAGTGCCAGCATCACCTTCCCAGTACCAGCACCACCTTCCCAGTGCCAGCACCAGTACCACCGTCCCAGTGCCAGCATCACCACCCCAGTACCATCATCACCACCCTAGCACCACCACCAGTATCACTGCCCCAGTGTCCACATCACTACCCCGGTGCCAGCACCAGTACCACCGTCCCAGTACCATCATCACCACCCCAGTACCACCACCAGTATCACCGCCCCAGTGCCCGCATCACTACCCTGGTGCCAGCATCACCGCCCCAGTACCATCATCGCAGCTCCAGTGCCAGCACCAGTGTCACCACCCCAGTGCCAGCACCAGTATCTCTGCTCCAGTACCACCATCACCGCTCCAGTACCAGCATCGCCGTCCCAGTAGCAGCATCACTGCTATGGTGCCAGCACCAGTATCTCTGCCCTATCGCCAGCATCACCTTCCCAGTGCCAGCACCAGTATCTCTGCTCCAGTACCACCATCACCGCTCCAGTACCACCACCAGTATCACTGCCCCAGTGCCAGCATCACTGCCCCAGTACCACCATCATCGTTCCAGTACCACCATCACCTTCCCAGTACCAGCACCAGTATCTCTGCCCCGGTTCCAGCATCACCACCCCAGTGCCAGCATCACCTTCCCAGGACCAGAATCACCCCCTCCCAGTACCAGTATCACTGTCCCAGTCCCAGTATGACTGCCCCAGCACCAGCATCACAGCCCCAGGACTGGCATCCCCACCCTGTTCCAGCACTGGTACCAGCATCACCAGTACCAGCATCCCCACCCCATACTGGTACTGGTACTCCCAGTACCAGCATCCCCACCCCATACTAATACAGGTACTCCCAGTACCAGCATCCCCACCCCATACTGGTACTGGCGCTCCCAGTACCAGCATCCCCACCCCATACTAATACAGGTACTCCCAGTACCAGCATCCCTACCTCATACTGGTACTGGCATCCCCAGTACCAGCATCCCCACCTCATACTGGTACTGGCATCCCCAGTACCAGCATCTCTACCCCATACTGGTACTGGCATTCCCAGTACCAGCATCCCTACCCCATACTGGTACTGGCGC